TCAACTATGTAGTGCAAGGGCCTGCCTAATTGGATGCAATTGAAAGTGTTGTTCAGGTTTGACCTCATATTAAATGGTTTTGGTAAATCTAAAGCAAAATTCTCAAGAAAATTGAATAATGTATGGTCAGCCTTCGTAGGTGTGCAGGCCTGATGACAAAATTTTTTAAGGGTCTAAGGCTGGCCATACATTATGCAATTTTCTTGAAAATTGCTTTAGATTTACCAAAACCATATAATATGAGGTCAAACCTAAACAACGCTTTCAATTGTATCCAATTAGGCAGGCCCTTGCACTACATAATTGAAAGTAAATCTAAATCTAATCTAAATCCAGCCTAAGGCTGGCCATACACTATACAATTTTCTTTCCAATTTCCTTTAGATTTATCTTAAACTATGTAGAACAAGGACCTAACTGCATACAATTGAAAGTGTTGTTCAGGTTTGATCTCATATTATATGGTTTTTGGTAAGTCTAAAGCAATTTTCCAAAGAGAATTGTATAATGTATGGCCAGCCTTAGACCCTTAAAAATTTTGGCATCAGGCTTGCACACCTACTTGCACGCCTAAGGCTGGCCATACATTATACAATCTTCCTGAGATTTTTGCTTTAGATTTACCAAAAACCATATACTTTGAGGTCAAACCTGAACACTTTCAATTGTATCCAATTAGACAGGCCCTTGCACTACATAATTGAAGGTAAATCTAAAAGGATATCGAGCAGAAATTGGACAGAAAATTGGACAAAAAAATTGGACAGAAAATTGAATAGTGTATGGCCAGCCTAAGGCTAGCCATACATTATACACTTTTCCTGAGATTTTTGCTTTAGATTTACCAAAAAACATATACTATGAGGTCAAACCTAAACAACACTTTCAATTATATCTAATTAGGCAGCCCTTGCACTACATAGTGGAAGGTAAACCTAAAGGAAATTGGGCAGAAAACTGTAAGCAAATTGTATAGCGTGTACGGCCAGCCTAACTATTCCTCGTGGAACAAACCTTACCAGGAATGTGAGCTGAGGGTACCTTAAAATGCAGACAAGACTACCCCGGTAAAAATAACAGATAAATGTCAAATTATGATACAAAAATGATCATAACGTATAAACATTAAATGTTAAAAACAATCAATACATTTGGTAATTGTTAGAGTGACCACCACCCAGCCAGGGGCTTATTAAGGTTCCCCCCTACACCCAGCATTCCTAGTTTGTTCTCCAACTATACTAACAAACTGAACACTGTCATTCTTCTATTGTTTCACTGGTCAAATGTTGTGGCCCCTCACTCTCCTATTGTAAAAATTCTCGTATTGTAAAAAAAAAACTGATAAATGTCAAATTATAATACAAAATTGATCATGACATATTAGCATTGATTATTAAAGGGATGGCAGACTAAGACAGCTTAGAAGAACTGTACTGTCCTTTACGTGAACTAGAGAAAAAGAAGTTGGAGAATTACTGGGCTTAAAGTTTAACAACAGTCAGGAACTCCACCTCTAACACTCGACATCTGAGAAATTATTATGTACTAAGAGACATTTCAAGTATAATCATTTGTATTTACCATTTGCAGTATTGCAGCTCCACACCGAAATCATTCTCTAAAGCTATTTGTTCAAGTTAAAAGACAGATGATATTAAACAAAGGCTGCAGTTTACATAAAAGCAAGAAACTGTAATTCTGTTTTCTCCGAGAGAGGAAATAGTTTTCATTTAGCCTTGGGGTCTGTCTTCCTGGGAGAATGGAGGGAAGCTAAGGTCAGAACAGCAATTTATTCTGACCCACACTTGTATTGAGGGCTTACAAAAGGCAGGAATTAGAATGTTATTTTATATGAACGAAAAAGAAAGAAGGGCAATGAAATGTCTCCACAAGGAAACTAAACATAACAGTACATTGCAATGAAACGTGTCCAGGCAATCTGCTAAATACGCAAATTAAATATAAAAACTGGTTTCATTGCACAAACATTTGTCATTCTGTTCAGCCAGTCTTGTGATCCAAGCACCCTTGCTTGACATTATAGTCTGGTCCTGGACCTCCTGTAAACCATACAGGAGTACAGCAATACAGACTCTGTGCCCATACGTAAAGGAAGAAAGAGCAGACAGCACTGTGAAAAAACAAATCCTTCAATGCTTGGGCTGTCATTCTATATCCGACTAGACTAAGCACTTGTCTTCATGCTAATACTAGTCTAGTCTGGATTCTATATTGTATATAGAATCCAGTTAAAGTGATTGTAAACTGTGATCCTATTACAGTGTCTAAGTAACAGGGCACATTTATTTCAGGTACTTATATAGCGCCATCAATTTACGCAGCGCTTTACATATATATTGTACATTCACATCAGTCCCTAACCCTCAGGGGGTGTACAATCTAAGGTCCCTAACTCACATTCATACATACACATACTAGGGCCAATTTAGACAGGAGCCAATTAACCTACCAGCATGTCTTTGGAGTGTGGGAGGAAACCAGAGTACCCGGAGGAAACCCACGCAGGCACAGGGAGAACATGCAAACTCCAGGCAGGTGGTGTGCTGTGGTTGGGATTTGAACCAACAACCCTAGTACTGCCAGGCGGAAGTGCTAACCATTTAGCCACTGTGCTAGCCATTCATTTACATGTGAACTGTGCTGGGAAATACAGCCTGTTTACAGCCTATTCAGTTTAGGGACACAACTTTCTTTTTTCATCCCAGCATGGCCAAGTTACATGTTTTATAAGGTCGCCTCAGCCTCTTCAGGCCCCCCCACTACTCAGGTCATGCAAAGGAGAGTGGAGCTGTGAGTCAAGGATCCGATCCACCTACCAATGTCTTCGGGTGGATCAGATCTTTGACTGACTGTTCCAATCCACTCTGCACAGCCTGGGAGGCGGGCCTGAAAAAACCTGCGGTGTCATCACAGGACATGTGACCAACTATAACTTAGCCCCGCAGGTTATAGTGACAGAGAACTATGATATTTCTTTCTAGCACATGCTCCTTTTCTTTAATGTAAGACACAGCTTAATTACATTAAAGACAGGGAGCATGCCACTACCAATGATCTATATGGACTATAGCGTGACTTACTATAACAAGCAGTTTATTCGTAAATAAAAATTATAATTCTTTTTTTAAGTGACACTTTAAAGCTTTTCCTTCAAATTGTATCCTTTTTTAACAACTTCCCGTCCAGCCCATGTACATAAATGGCTGGACGGGAGCAGTGCTGGAGTGGGTAACCGTTTATAAACGTCCTCCCACATTCATTGCCTGTGCAACCTCCCTGGGAGCACGCGCCCCACGATCCGGAACACTGATCGCTGTACGGGAACTCTGTGTGTGTGACTGGCCAATCAGTGATCACATGAATAGTAGTAAGCAAGATATCACTTCCTGACATCATTGCTTACGACTAGTGAAATCTGTGAATGATTACAGATTTCACATGGTACAAGGCTATTCACAACAGCCTTGTACCATGTGACAAGCTGTGACCAATCACAGCTCTCACAGTATTTATCAATGGCTGCAAAAATGCAGCCAGAGAGCAGCAGAAATGATTGCTTTTACAGCCTTTATGGGTGTAAAAGCAATCAGTGTAAAAAAAAGAAAAGAAAAATCCTCATCACCCCCCTCAAGTAGTACAGTGTCACTATGGTGACACTGTACTGCTAGGGTGACAGTATGTTAAAAAACAAAACAAAACATAATATTAAAAAATTAAATAAAAATGTAAAAATTATTTTTTAAAAATTATAATTTTTGCTTATAAACTAATATGGGTTATTTTTTTCAAAATGTTTGGACTTTTTCATTTATATACCTTAGATTGTACACCCCTTGAGGGTTAGGGACTGATGTGAATGTACAATATATATGCAAAGTGCTGCGTAAACCAATGGCGCTATATAAGTACCTGAAATAAATAAATAAATGAATAAATATAGCAAGAGAAATAAAAATCCCAGTGGTGAATAAATACCACCAAAATAGTTTTATCTGTCTCAAAAAAAATGCTAAAAAATGTATATGGGTACAGTGTTGCATGACCGCACAATTGTCATTCAAAGTGTGATAGCACTGAAAGCTGAAAATTGGCCTGGACAGGAATGGGGTGAAAGTGTCCGGACTGGAAGTGGTTAAACTGTTTTATGTCTTTTGTGTATACAATCTTATTTATCTTATAAAAAAGTAAGTAAACACGTGGAAAGAAATCTGGAGCTCAACCTGCCAGTTGTAAATTTAAATATTAAAGTTTATGAAAATTCAATATTTTATATTCAATCATAAATAAAACATTTGTTTTTCCATATCTGCATGGAGTTTAGCTTAAAATAAAAGTATTATTCTTTGTTCCATGTTACATTAAGGTCTTAACTTACTAACCAACTATAATTAAGATGTTATAAAACAAACTTTCTAGCACAAAAAACTTTTGATGCCCAGGCAAAATCTGAAAAACAGTTCTGCCTTCAATATGAATTGCCTGGTTTAGCTCACTGTTCTGTTTATCCCTATACAGTAGAAAGGAAAGCAGACTTATCCCAGGAGAAAAATCAGACATATCTGAATGTGTATCCCCCCAAAATGCCTTTGCTAATAATGATGGTCTTATCTAGCCAAGAAGAGATGACTTCCCCGTCATTCCTTCTAGGTGAGATATCGGTTTGTCAATGGTTAGAAAGGGACCTTTTTTGAGAAATTGATGAGGATCTTTTCACCAAGTGTCTTGCACTAATTTTCTTTCTCGTTTGTTTTTATCACTTCAAATACCACCTAACTCTCCCACAACCTAACTCCCTAGAGCTATGCATAAATTAATGAGATGTGGCTAAAAGGTAGAGCAGATGGGATGTAACAGCAACCTTCCAAAGTGCACTAACACCTTTAGAACTGCAAACCATGGCAATGTTTGCCTCCTCTACCCTCACCATCCTCCAAACTATATGCTACAAAATGGAGGTTCACTTTTCTAGCTATTACCTTCAAAGACTTGGTGATGGTTTCTGAGCAGTGTCTGTAGGCCTCCACATTCATTCTTCAGTCTCTGTAATATCTCCTTGCCCAGGACATCAGCTACTTCTCGTATTGTAAGACATCCTAATGGAAAAATAAGAAGATAATTATCATTGCTACTTACTGTTTTTTGTTTGATACAATGAAAATTTCACACTTTAGCTTTGTATCTCTCAGAAACCATTCTTCTAAAAAGTGGCATGGTTGAAGTTGTCTTGAAATCATCAAAACCCGATTCTACGATCTCCACATTTACCAACAACTATGTAAAGTAAAAGCCTATCTACAGCTAACCATACACAATCCCATAATCACCTTTAGATACCAGTATGTAGTGCAGGTGCCCCTGCCTGATTTTGCACAAACCAAATGGACCATTTCTGTAGGACCACAGTCTTGGTAACCCTAAAGGAGATTTCACAACCAGTTAAAAATTCCAACTCCAGGAATGAAACAAAATCTACCGTTGCAGCAGATCCTTCCCACTGTTTGTTCAGTCTAGGGGTGCAGCAGTACGGTATAACGTATTCCTCACTGCAGCGGGGTCCCTCCGGCAGAAAGTCTCTTCTCTAATTCAACATGAAATGCACCTCATAGCTGTTGGTAAATTAAAAGGACACTAGCTAAAAAAAAATGGTGGCATGCTAGGAATAGGAGGAGTTATATCTGGCAGGTCACTGAATTTTTGTTTTCCATTGTCTAAATCCTCAACCTAAATCCTAAACCAACAGTCTCTGAATTTCTGTATCCTCAATGAACAAAAAAGAAAATTGATTTTGCAATATCCTTGTGTTTAGCAAGACTACGCAAGACAAGCAAAGTGGTTGGAAACTTCTGAAATGAAAAATGAATAAAGCATATCCTTCTATAGTGTGTACTCACCTTAGTCCAAAGCACATAGTGTAATTTCTATCTGCTGTCTCCTTCATCTATCTTACAGATTATGCTAAATCCAAAAAAATCCAGCGGGACGGGAGCTCCAGCACACACCCTGTGTTAGACAGCCTCAGCTGTACTTGTTTCCCTATGAGAGTAGGTGTGTGTGTGTGTGTTCATTCTCTCCACTCAGGTCTCAGAATACACTCAGCTCCCTGCTCTATGCCGTGTAAGTTTGCGATGTCAGATCCTCAGCACTTGCCTGATGGAGTGGAGAAATAGCCTTTGATCTGTGTATTTTAGAAGGCTATAGAGGAGAGAAGGCTGCAGATAAACAGGCACAACTTAAGTAGGAGAATTTGTTTTATCTCTTTATCACGAGGCTAGTCACTTCAATGGGTATATGTAAGGGTTTACAGGCACTTTAAGGGAGGAGCTACAGTGCAGTGACGTCACGCCGCCGCCAACACCACGTGGGTCCCGGCGGCCATCTTGAATTATCTGAGTCACGTCTAAAGGAGGAAAGAGCCATGCTTGATAACTGGGTGAGCAGAGCACGGGAATAGACCAGACCACATTCCAGAGGGTTTCCTGGATTCAAACCTTAAGAGGGGTTATCTCTTACATGCGCATATTGATTGCACATCTGGTGAGTGTGCAGTCTTATATCAGTTTTGGATATCACCACATTTATATTCATCATAAGAGATCCTCCTCTCAACACTCAACCCACTGGGATATTGTGGACTGGGCACTCACTAATATTTCTGATTGGTCACGACACAGTGACATGTATTTATGTGTGGACTTTACTCTTTACACTTTTATGTGTTTTGCACCATAGTGTGTTATTAACAATAATTTATGCACACTGAGACATGTGTTTTTACAGCGTCTTTAGCATTTTATTCATTTGTATTTTATGAATTATTTATGATCCCATAGCGCTGCACCCCGTTTATATATTGGTTTTTGAGGTTGTTTTGGTACCTTTGGTGCTCAGCGGCTCTAGCAACTTTTAGCGCTCACTTATCCATTACTTGTGAGGCACTTTAAGGCTACTTTCACACTGATCCATAGCAAAAACGCAGTAAAAATGCGTATGTGGCTAGCAGTGTGTTTTTTCAAAGGACATGCGACTCAAAAAAAACCGCATAAAAATCAAATCTGCAGTTGTGTTTTTGATGCTTTTGTGAAACATTTTCTATGGATTTCAATGAGGCACGATTTGCTGCGTTCTTTACCACAGCAAACCTGTACCAAAAATGCATCAAGCAGGATTTTACTAAACACAGCAGACCTGCAGCAGGTCAGTGTGAAGAGTTATATAGATTTACATGGTCAGATGTTTAACACAAAAGCAGAAAAAAAAAAAAAAAAGGAACCGGCGTGAAAGCAGCCTAAACAACCCATTCAATATGTAAGCAATAACAACGACCCTTACACTACATAATTATTGAGAGACCTAAAGGACATTGTACAGAGTTTATCGTGTACAGCCAACTTAAAGGACATTGTACAGAGTTTATCGTGTACAGCCAACTTAAAGGACATTGTACAGAGTTTATCGTGTACAGCCAACTTAAAGGACATTGTACAATCAAGATGGAATAAGTTTGGTCAACTTCACAGGCAAGTAAAATTCTACTCTGCTTGACAATGTATTTTTCAGTTTGATTTAAAAATCTACTCCTTTGATTCACCTTTCATATTTTCTACATCTCCTTCCAAGCCCCTCACTCTCACTACATGGATTCACTTATTTCTATTATGGAGGATGCAGTAAGGACAGTGGGACACCCTTGCTTAGCTTAGTACTGGTCACAGAGGCGGGACACTGAGAAGGTGTGGTCGGGTGGGGTGGAGCCTAAAAGCGCACTACTTTCTAGGGCAGAAGGTAGATGAGCAGTTTCTTGGTTAATGGCCTTTCATGGAGGACGAAACAAAATATATTGGTTTTTTCAAGAATGCATGTTGTCGTTTGGGCCTGTAACAGGTTTTTCTTTTAAAGCGTTTAGTTTTTTTTTTCTCCTTTAGGACAGATGGAAAATATTTTATATTTAATAAAAAGATCTCAATCTGCTAAAGGAAGAGACTCCAAATCCATGTATCCGTTGCTCTTGGGTATAAACATATCAGTTAAGTGGGCTTCATATTTGTTATGAAGAATTCATCATTGACAGAGAAAACACATTTTTAATACAAACATACTTAATTCTCAGATTGTTATTTTGCACTGTGCTCTTTTTAACCACCGCACTATAGTACAATGATGGGCGCAAGGTGGTTCTCTCGTTCTGTTAGGATGTCATACCATTCTCACTGCGCATGTGCGGCTCAGGGAGCGCGCAGCGCGGTGATCGCCGGTCTGCTGTGTCCCTCGGACACAGCGGATCACGGAAAGAGCCGAAGAGGTCGGCTCGGTCAAAGTGATCAGCTGTGTCCAATCACAGCTGATCACATATAAACACGGAAATGCCGGTCATCGGCATTTCTCTCCTCTCGAGCGGTTACGCTGACAGCTCGAGAGGAGAGGAGAGTCGGTAATCGGACATGTACACTGATCATCAGGGCACTGATGATCAGTGTGCCCTGATGATCAGTGTGGCCCCAGAAGTGCCACCTGTCAGTGCCCATCAGTGCCACGTGCCAGTGCCCATCAGTGCCACATATCAGTGCATACCAGTGCACATCAATGCCACATATCAGTGCCCATCTGAGCTGCCTTTCAATGTCACCCATCAGTGCCAGTCAGTGCCACCTATCAATGCCAATCAGTGCCACCTATCAGTGCTGCCAATCAGTGCCACCTATCAGTGCCAGTCAGTGCTGCCTATCAGTGCCAGTCAAACTCCTTCTGTATTCAGATTATGTCGTGCCCTAAAATTAAATACATCCATATAGGATATATTGAAAAACAATAGAATTAAAAAAGGCAGCAAATAAGTGAATATAAAAATACCCAGCTGTAAACATAGTGTATCAAAATCAACAAATAGAATGACAATGGAAAGTCTGCATTCAGGTGGACAATAAAAAAAATAATATATATATATATATATATCTCAGCTGCTAGCACTCTGCCTTGATACCCAGCGTAAACACATATAGATACCCAACCAGTGCATCACCCAGAAATCTAAGATAGAATTATAGTAAAAACTAGGAATAAATAAATGGAAAATTGGGTATCTGGCGCACTCCAAGACGGGGTTAAAATGGTACATGCGGCAAAAGTGAATAAATGTAGACTTAAAAGGAAAATATGCATGTCATAATATACATATGTACAAACATATAAATATTAAATTAATAATAAATCATTAAATAATAATGAATATGAGTAATAAAAGTCCTTGTATAAAGTCCTTAAAGGAGTTCTGATGCACCATGGGATGGGGGCAGCCAGCCAATGACGAGCTAGAGAGGTCCTGTGGAAGATCAGGAAGAAAGAGGCGGCGCCCTCTAAGTGCAGTATGAAAGCTCTTCTCAGGCCTGACGGGGGAGTATGCATGCTCTAAACGTGCGCCAATCCCCGCCATCATGTGACCGAAAGTGACATCTTCGTTGCGCTGAGGGAATCCCGGAACTTGGAGGACATGCTGGAAGCCACCAGCATCGCTGCCAGACGCCGGCTCTCCCCACTCGCCTAGAGGCTCCACACTCCTTTATCAAAAGCGGATGCTTTTTAGACAAACAAGACCCTCTTCTTACCTTTGTGAGTGGCCTGTAATATTATACATTTTTACCCATTAAAGAGCTTTTATACTGCACTTAGAGGGTGCCGCCTCTTTCTTCCTAGAAAAAAATAAATGGATATAAATACAGTCTTGTGAAACAATTGAGATTTAACCCCCAATAATCAATAAGAACGTGCATATACAATCTATATCAACATTCCAACTAAACAGTACATATCATAAACCATGGATCATGCTATGACAATGTATTAAATTCATAAATCAGAAATAAACAGATAAAAAGAGGAAATTTCATAGAGGTCTGAACTAATTGTAAGCAAAAATCCACAGAGAGCTGAAAGTCCCACAAGCCGAGAGGAAAAGAGAATGGACTCCTCTAACAGCCAACAGTAATCCACTCAGCTGTCATCAGTCTCATGCAAGAATTATCTTGCACATACGACACTCCATGGTAACATGGGCAAGGCTTATCTTGCACATACGACCCTCCATGGTCACATGGGCAAG